CATATATGATGTCGATCTACAGAAAATTTTCGAAACTTTTGGAAATCTGTCAGAAGAGGGAATTCTGACGCACAATACATTTTAAGAGAGTGTTATCGTTATGATATAGGAGTATCTAAAAATCTGCTTAAAGGAGAGGATACTTTAGAGCGTAAATCAAACTAGCGATCAAGAAACTTGACCCCAAGTTTGCTGCGGGAGACGTTCAAATGACCGTTCAGTCACCTGACCTACGAGCAAGAAAATATCTTAAATTACACGTATAAAATAACAATAGAGTGAATAGAAAGCTTAAAAGGTAATTTTGAGCTAATGCAACATAATACCTTGTCATGCACGATTAGATTGAAAAGAACAGCACGAGGTGTATATTTATATATAACTCGCGATACCCTTAAATTGCGTTTTCCACGCCAACTTTAAAGAAATACAAATGGTCACAGCGGTATGTACTAACCGCCAAAAATTCACGTTTAATATATGCAATGACCACAAACAGAAATCTTAATCGAGCGATTTTCCACTAAAAAAAAGTCATCAAAAGAATCATGTTTTCCGGTCAAAGCGCACAATGTCAAACCCATCGTGATCCATGAGACTTGTTAAATCAGGATTTAAAGTTGAGTAAATTTTAATTATCTCATGATTACACAAGTGTCTGAGAATGAAATTTAAAAAGAAAGTTGATTTCAAACAGGATTTGATATGTAATATCTTAATAATCAAAGAGATGAGGTATTCCTTAAAATAAAAAAATTATTTAATTATGAATTGCTTATTTTAGATAAAACCTTATTAAATTCCTGTTCATGATCTTGAATTCAATTAAACTTTCCTATTACAAGAGGGAAAGAAAAAAAAAAAAAGATTTGTGTCAAATGACAAGGGGGGGCCACCAAAATCATTGTCTTAAGGTGGTGTTACCTGATCATCAAGATATTCATTGACAAGGATAATAATAAGGGCACACAAAACCGGTTTCTTGTTTGAGAAAGTTTCATGGTGTTTTCAGATTTAAATCAAAGGACGAAACGTTTCCTTGTGAGATAATTAACATTGTCAATTATTTCTCAATTTGAACTTATTTTGTAATTCGCATCACCCTTTTCATGATGGAACAATATTATAATATTAATTTTTTCACTCTGAAAACAATGAATGAGACATCATTAACGAGTCGGGGGGAGGGAGGGGAGGAGGTTTAATTGGTTCCTCCGATATTACGAATGAAACCATTTTTGAACATTCGCGCAAGGTTCGTTTAAAGAAAGCTTAAAGTATTAATAAAGCAGAAACAGGATAGAGAGGCATGCGACTTTAAATTCATACAAGGAAAGAACTGCGAGCTTAATCATGATACTCATAGTTCATTCAGGGATGGCCAATTAATGATTTACGTAATCCTTTATCAAAAGAGATTGATTAATTTGAATGAATCCATATTTGAAAGGGTTCACCAATATGGTTATACTAGTTCTTGGAGGAAAGGTCAGAACGATTAAAAAGAGGAATTAAAATAAAAAAAAATTCAAGAATTAAAAAATTGCAATTATATCGGATATCCTTAGCCGTATTTAATTAATACTTAACAAAAAAAAAAAAGCGAGTATTGAAGCGAGTTTCTTATCAATGAATTTTTTTTTTTGATGAGAAGGTTTCTTTTTGTAATTCATTCCAGATTATGCATTCTAAATCAGAACGCATGATTAATGCGTCAACTTGACCATTTCGTGAATTAAATTCCCAGAATTTTTGAAATACGTAGCTTTTGAGAGCCAAAATGGGTGGATGCAAAAGCAAACGTTTTTCCCATGCAACGGTGGGATGAGAAAAATTTTTTTTTAACTCTCAGCGAGGTCTTACCCGAAATAGGCAATGGCATGGAACCTTCTCTGGTTACTGAGTTATCGCTGAGACAAGCACTGGGCGCGGATTTGTCGGCGCAGTAAACGAGCTATTTATGGACTCATCATTCCGAAACGAATCCCATCCAAATGCGTGATCAGAATGACGACATGTGTTCAATTTTACGAATAAGCCACAAAAATCATTATTCCGTAAAAGGGAATCACAAGGATTGGAATAAGCTTCCGAATGTGGAACGCATTTTTCAATAGCCGTGGCGCATTTTACGTTCCCCATTTAATGATATATCCAGAGTCCTTTTTTTTTAAAACCGAATTGATTTCCAATTTAAGAAGCTCAAGCCTCAACTAAAAAAAAAAAAACACGGTGTCGGAATGCGAAATGCAAAAGCAAGCAAGCAATTGAAGAAAAACGAACGTGATTATTTCTTGTTTGAAGACGCATTATTTTTTTCGTTAACATATAATATTTATTATTCTCATTGTCTAAATCATTGTCTGAAAAAAAAGAAAAAGTACGAAAGGAAAAAAAAATCTAATGGGTCGTAAAAAAAAGGAAATTTATTATAAAATGTAAAAATAGCCGATGATCTTTTTTTTTTTTTTTTTTTTTTCCTAATTAAAAAAATAAAGGAGACGGAGATTCAAAAATATTTTTTTATTATTAATACAATGAATAAAAAAACAATGATTTGCTTAATAATTACAATGATTAAAAATACCTTTTGAACATGGAAAAATCAAAAAAAAAAATTCTAAACGGTTAAAATACGGCATGATTGATGAAGTCTTGGGGGTGTTGTTTGGTTTCACGATTTCTTTTTTTATCTCGAGCATTTTTGAAATGTTCAGGAAAATTACGTAAAGGAGGCTGATGATTATTTGAAGATTTTTTTTTTTTATCCATCGTCATTGTTAAAATCAAATTAAATCATAAAGATTCATATTTTTCCACAAAAAAAGAAAATCTTTTAACTGGAAAGTGATTACTATTACATGTTTATGATGATTACTAATTACTTTCCTCATTTATAGTAAAATCATTCTTTTACTCGTGTGGGAAAAAAACAAAGAGACAAAAATTACCGAATGATAGTTCTAAATTAGGAAATCACTATCAAATTATGGGTGGCAGAGCAAGCGGAATTTGGATTTCCTCATGCGTTCAGGGTCAAATTATTTCCTATTAAACTGCGGCAATCAATTTTTCTCTTTCATGATTCCAGATATCTCATGAATGTAACATGACAAGGAAATCTTCAATGCGACTCGAAAATCCCGCTAGGATTAATTTTTCTCTACCATTGATGTAAATTGATTGAGGTCCGATAAACTAATTTTTTTATAGAATTGACAACGAGAATGTCAACAAGTTTTTTTATTCTTGATGGAATTAGTGCGATTTTCCAGTTAGAATTTTTTGACGCAGTAATTACTAATAATCAACAGAATTAAAAGATGAAAAAAAAAAAATAATAATAATGACATAAAGACGAAACCAAAAGCAAGCAAGTCAACTTGTTTTATTTTCCATTCTTATTATTTCAAATCGGACTTTCCCGCAAAAAGGACCAAGAGTTTGTTTTAAGAAAAAAAAAACTTTTAAATAAAGAACAAAAATGTACAAGAATAATTACGTTTTATTGATGCACATGATTGGTTCCGCTTTCCTTAAATTAATTTAAATGAATTTATTGAAATTTTTTTTTTACGGTAAATTCCAGAATAAATAAATAATAAATGACCCAATCATTCCCCCCTTTCGCTATCATATGTACGCCAATACGGAGGCTTAGAAAGAATGTGATAGATAGGTTAAATTAAAAAAAAAACAAGATGTATTTTTTCTTTTTGGCGAAAAAAAGAGTGTGTTATTTGTAATTCTAAATTAATATTTTTCCATACTATTTACCTCCCATAATTGCTATACAGGAATATTCTATTAGTTATAGATGACATTGAACTAGGTCATGTGCAGTAAATATTTACCCATTGATGATGTTGTAATATCTAGTTGTGGCATAAAAATGAAACGCGTTAATTTTTTTTTATAACATTGTTTACGCGGCCGTGTGATGTTTACGATCAGGACAATAAAAATTGTTTCTTTCTTTGAACATTACAAATTTCATCTTACATGGCAAGCGAAAAAATTTTTTTTTTTTTAATGCAAAAATTTATTTCGAATGTTATTTATTTATTTACAAAAAAACATAAAATTTTTAAAGGATGCAAAGAATGTGTGCGGTTTTTAAAAAAAAAAATAAAAAAATAATAGATTATTTTTTTTTTTTTTTTTTTTCATTTTTTATTTGCTTAATGGTTTTTTGTGATTGCTTAATGTGTGTAAGTGATGATGAATAGATGACATGAAAAAATGCTATATAAAAAAATCTATAGATGTTCGTGATGTTTTTTTTCTATTTTAAACTTATATACAAAAAAAAAGTGTAAATGATTTGATAATGTCTATGTTGTGAATTATAGAAGCGCAGCTTTAAAATTCGTTAGAATCTATATTGTTATGTTTGTGATTTCTATATTGTTTTTTTTTAAAACGAAAAATGATTTTTTAAAAAAAAAAAATGGGGGGAGAAAGAAAATGTCTAGTAGATTCAAAAAAAAAAAAAAAAATATGCGAAAAGTGTATTTAAGTTTTTTTTCCGTTGAAAAAATACAAAAACATATGCTTTAGAATAAAAAGGCTGAGGCTCTTTAAATAAAGAAACATCCAAGTATTTCACCAAAGGAAAAAATTGTGAATGACGTCTATTTCAACTTATATACAAATCTAATTAAAAAAAAACGAAGGAGAAAGAAAATAAATTAAAAAAAAAAATAAAACGTTGCAAAATAAATCGTAAAAAATTAAATCGTTAAGTTTGTGTTTGTGTTTGTGTTTGTGATTTCCTCGAAAGTACGTAAAAAATAAATTTGATTCAGTCTTTAAATGAAAGAAAGAAACTATGCGATAGAGAAAGAAAAAAAAAAAAGAATGGATAAGGTTGAATTAAGAAAAATGACTATCAAGAATGTTTGAGGTTGATAAATTATAAATTAAGGATTAGTCATTAAGAAAAGGGTAGAAAAATAACGATAAAAAAAATAAAATTAAGAAATTAAAAAAAAGAATTAAAAAAGAAAAGATTAAAATTAGAGATTAAAGAAATAAAAGATGGGGAAAAAGAAGTTTGGGAAATAAAAGGGTAGTTTAAAGAATAAAAGTGTGAAAGCACGAAGGCGTTATTATTATCCAATCCTGTGGTTTTTCTAACCACCAAAGTACAACCACACAAGAAG